AAAAAAAACAGATCATATTTCTCCTTTCCTAGCATCTCTCCAATGGCTTGCAGGTAAATCTAGAATAGAATTTAAAATCCCCATCACATATAATGCCCTAAATAACCAAGCTCTTCTTATATCAGAAATCTGATCATTTCTTATGTTCCTAACAGAGCACATGGCTCTTATCTGCAGGTGTATTAGTTGTCCCTAAAATTTCTAAAAGTATAATGAGAGGTAGATCTTTTAGTTATCATCTACCGTAGAACCAACTACCAGTTTTAGTCTGTGAGGCAGACACCTTGTCTATTTCTAAGGCAAGGCTTAAAATGTTCCTTTTTGATAAAGCTAGATTTTCTTAGGTTATCCTGAGCTATCTCTATAGTTATGCTGCTATAGACTTAGACTCCTGGAGGACATAGGGATCACTTTTCATAATTCTGCTTCATTCTATCTCTATTTTCCCATTCTGCAGTATTTGTTAAGTTCCAACCATAACTTTATGTTTCCTCTGCTTTATCTTGTTGTTTTATTTTTGTCAGAGCATCCTATGCCACCCAATGCAACCCTGATTAGAGCAACATACAACAGCCCAAAGCGTACCGAGGTGGAGCTGGAGTGGCAGGTAGATGGTGTGGAGGAGAAAGGAGGTTGGACTGGATTCCATCTGGAGCACCAGTGGGTATCTGAGCGACCAAACAGAAGAGGAAGCAGCAACGAATCCCAGCTGAGGATGGAAGAGAGGATTGGTCCCCAAGACTGGCAGTGCACCATCATCCAGGAACCAGATGCCAGGAGTCACACAGTAAGAGGACTGACTCCAACTGTTACCTACCAGTTCCGCATAATACCCATCAACCACCGCACGATTGGACACCCATCTCCAACAAAAACTCCAGGTACAATAAGCGCACTCTTAAAAAGGAAGCATACAAACAAGATTTTTAAAAAGTGTATAAATGCTAATCTCATTAGGCAATGCACATGTTAAATAGGACCTGGTAATATCTTTAAACTGTGAACATGAGAGTTTTGTGCAATGGCAGTTCTGATTACCTTATTAACATTTTTTTTTCCTTTTTATCCTCTTAGGTGAAAGACACACATCCCAAAAAAACAAATCCACATATTAACACATGAGACTAACACATTCATTGAGCTTCTATCTTTTTCTGTTTCCTTTTCTCTAATCTCTAAACTGTTTAAAATCTGACTCCATTTAGTTCTAATACAATATTAAAGTCATTTTTCCATTTAAAAATGCTGTTATACTGTATATATTTTGAAAAGTCTAACTTGGTTAATTAACTGACTTAAGATCGAAGGGTTTGTTAAGTCAGACATCAGAGATGGATTATACATGTTAATGGAAATATCAAATAACTATAGGGGAATTTTTCCTAATTAAATTCCAAGTAATGTATTGTAACATTTTTGGTGTATCTGCAGCCCATACTGTTAAGAAAGAACTCTTACAGGAAATAATTGTCAGAGTGAAGTGCTCTTTTTGTTTTTTATTTCTAAGGTGTACTATTTTGCAATGTGTAACTTTGGTGTATTGCAGCGGAACCGCGCCACAACATGTACCCAGCTGTGATTGGGGCGGCTATAGGCGGAATGCTCTTTGCAGCCATTCTCACAGTCCTGCTACTAATTTTCATAATTCGCAACCGCCACAACAATCCCAGTGAGTCCTGCACAGCAGTAGCAACATTTTGCAAATGTAAACTATGAAGATGAAGCTACCGAAACTTTTCGCGGTATTAATAATGTGTTTGTTTCACCAGGACTGCATGACATGCTGTTTGGCTTGTGAGTATCTGAGTGTTCCTACTTGCTATATCCTAAGAGGCTGATTATCAAAGCAAATAATCCATGTTTTACTTTCTATTTATAGACAGCACAGCCAGTCAAGAGAGAACATTAATTTTCCAGAGGATGAAATGGTCAGAGGGTCAGAGGGAATAGAGGACATTGGTGGATCATCCAGCCCAGGCAAGAAAAACTTGCTTCAAAAATAATTTATTTTCTCTTCTTTTTAATAGCAACATCACATTTTGCAAGTCTGTTTTTTTTTTTTTTAATATATATAAATTAAGGAATACAAAGATTTTTTTTAACAATTGTAAAACTATCAAACATCAAACTATCAAATATCAACCTAAAATAAAAATGATTATTAAATATGCTTGGATCACATGAGCCTATCAGCTCTTACGCTTCAATGACGGTAAGAGCTGATAGGCTCATGTGATCCAAGCATATTTAATAATCATTTTTATTTTAGGTTGATGTTTGACAGCTTTGATGTTTGCGGCATGGTGTTTCAATATAGTTTTATCTTTTTTTTCCTGCATTTTATAATGAACAAAAACCTTTGCAGATGTTTCACATGGCAAGACCACAATCCAGATATATTACACACATGCGCCATGAGTAAACAGGGAAGTAATAAAGACCATTTGTACCTCATCAGTAAGCCTTGAAGTAGAGAAGAATTAAGTTAACTACCCATTTATTCAAGTCCGGTGTGGCTTAAATGGAAAGGTGAATGTATTAATGAGGAGCCGGGAAACACCTCAGAGGACAGTGGACCCAGAGGATCTGAGTTGGGAAACATTGGTCTTAAGTGCATTTTGCTCTATACAAGGAGCAGCTATTAGTTGATCTGTTTCAATAAGCTATTAATTATTCGAAAATGCTTTGCACTTATTCAGTCCCAAGCATTAAATCAGACTCCAAAAAAATGTAATTCTCTATGTGAGGGATTGGCAGCAACAAAATGCAAGTATCGTCGCCACATGCCCATCCAAGCGGAGCATGTCCTGCACGCCAAAGGTTCGATGCAATCAAATGGTTTTCTTATAGAAACCTTTTGCCAATCTGAGCGTAGGATATGACTAAGAGTGTAAAGTTGCTCTGAGATGAGATGTGTTGTGAAATGGTGCTTTGTAAAATTGAAAGGATTTTAAACTGAAACATAAGAAAGCAAAGCTGACATTAAAACCCTTAATTAACCAATTGTCAGTTCTTTGCAGGCAAAGTAGAAGCTGAACAGATATTAGCAGATATAAGTTTATTTAGGATGAAATAATAAAAGTATTTTTGATTATGGATCAAATGTTTTATATATACTTCTGCTGATTTTGGCTCCCATCTGTGCTGAAGGCAAAACTTTGGTCTCTTGCAGGCCCTGCTGTGTCTATACCCAGGGCATCCTCACCCCTCACCACCTCACACCTGAGTGCCACTCCCACCCCTAGCAGCCAAGCCCCTCCCCCTGGAGAGGATAACGAGCCCGTCAGCGTCACAATTACGGTCAAGGCAACTGGATCCTAAAATAAATCACCAGCATGTCAGCTGCATTTCAAACTGGAGCTCCTGTATATATTTTAGTGAACGCAAAGCAACTGTTAGATGTTCTTGTACAAAGATCCTTCACAGATGTCATTCCAAGCTAGCTGAACAGATAAAAGATGTATAACTGGTGTTTTATATTTATATTTTATTTTGTGACTCCTTCTTCATTTCATAATTTAACCTCAAATAAATGTATCAATAGAATAAAAATCTGTACTTATTCAACTATTCCAGTATGATGTGCTTATTATAAAAGAACAGAGCAAAAAAGGTTTTATTAATTTATTCATCTTTGAACTTTAAGATTAAAACATCGGAACTCTACAGTTTTTACAAACAGCATTGTTGAAAATCATGACTGACACTAGAACCAACATGTCACTGCACAGAAGGTATGACCTACCCTCAAGACTTGCTTTTTTATGTCCAGATGAGAAAAGAAAGACAAATGTTAACAAAAACATGTAAATATATACAGTTTGCTTCTCTATGATGGTCTCTGTTTTCTCTGTGGAAGTTTTTTTTATGGCATGGGAAATAAAATCTTTGGGGAGCAGACCACCTCGCCGAGCTTCTGCTTGATCTTCACAAAGAGACGCTTGAACTCCAAACCGTCACCCTGAAAAAGGCAGAAACTTTAGCATAGCAATATTTCAGTTCTTCTTTTATTGCCCATTACTTCTTTTTGTGGCCCATAACAGTTAAAACATCAAAGAATTTTAACTTTCTATCTGACCTTGTTCCAGAGATGTAAAATAGATACCGTAATAGGACTGAGGCAATAAATCGGTTTTTGTTGAATGATTAAATTTACCATGAATGGAGATCTTTTTGTAGAAAAAAAAAAAATCTGTATTTTTATTTACATTTTTGAAAAAAGTTTTTTTTTTTTTTTATGTAATCTAATCCTAATTTGTAATGCCACTAGCTGCAAACACATTGTTTTTGTTTTTTGTTTTTTAAATTATGACAGGATCTGACAGCTTGTTTTTCAAGCATGTTTTAAAGCTTGTATCTAGTCGTACTTTGAGTTCAGGTAATCTCCCAGAAAGGATGATTGACATTAAAGCAACTTTTTAAAAACAATTCCTGTCATTTGTAGTTTTTTTTAGTATCAAAAGGGCAAGTAGTAATTCTTCAAGAATTTATATGAAAATTGATTCAGAATCATATAGTCCATTTTCTTAATTCATCCTTAATTTCTAATAGTTGAGGTGTTGTTAAAAATGTTATTTTACTAAACCTCCAAAGTCAGTTTTACAGTTTTCTTCTAAATTTTCCATTAACAATGCTTTAGTTAGATGGAGGACTGAGAGGCACTTTAAACCGATAAAGAACTGGCATAGTTTCTTCTAGTGAAAATAGAATACTTTTCTGTATTTTAGTGAGTTATTGTATTTTATCAGCATATTGTATCTGTGCTTTAATGTTTGTAGCATAAAATTTTTTTTTATTTACAATACAGGAGTATAGAACTAGCGTAAACTAGGGTTGCGTGATTTTGCCAAAAATCAAAGTGCATTTATTTTTAACCAAAACTGTGTTTTTATTTTATTGTACTGTGAGCCCTCGTTTTTTGCGGGGGTTACTTTCCCAAAAGAACCAGTGATAGGCCAAATCTGTGAAATAGTAACCTTTATTTTTTTNTTGCTGACGCAGCGCAGAGTCGTGTCAGTGTACGAGGGGAGCGACGTGCAGCTCACCTGCAATCTAAGAGCCAATTACCTTCCAGCCAAAGAAATTACTTGGTTCAACAATCAAGGCATAGATGTCAGAGACACCTCAAAGTACATGCTGCTCCGGACGATCGGCTGGGCCAACCTGACAGTGAGAGACGCAGACGAGATGCAGGACAGCGGAGAGTATAGATGCTCCACTTCAAACGCAGTGGGAGGCGCTGAAATCAATGTAACTCTGGTGGTCAAGAGTAAGAATTGGATTTTAACTTTCCTTCAAGCACCATAACTTACTCAGGCACTCTCAATCTGAGCTAAATTTGTCACTTTCATACAGTTTTTATTTCTGAAAGCCTTCAGCTGATCCAGCAAAAGTTCTCATGAAAATAAAAAAACAGATCATATTTCTCCTTTCCTAGCATCTCTCCAATGGCTTGCAGGTAAATCTAGAATAGAATTTAAAATCCCCATCACATATAATGCCCTAAATAACCAAGCTCTTCTTATAACAGAAATCTGATCATTTCTTATGTTCCTAACAGAGCACATGGCTCTTATCTGCAGGTGTATTAGTTGTTCCTAAAATTTCTAAAAGTATAATGAGAGGTAGATCTTTTAGTTATCATGCTCCTCTACCGTAGAACCAACTACCAGTTTTAGTCTGTGAGGCAGACACCTTGTCTATTTCTAAGGCAAGGCTTAAAATGTTCCTTTTTGATAAAGCTAGATTTTCTTAGGTTATCCTGAGCTATCTCTATAGTTATGCTGCTAAATGTTTAGACTCCTGGAGGACATAGGGATCACTTTTCATAATTCTGCTTCATTCTATCTCTATTTTCCCATTCTGCAGTATTTGTTAAGTTCCAACCATAACTTTATGTTTCCTCTGCTTTATCTTGTTGTTTTATTTTTGTCAGAGCATCCTATGCCACCCAATGCAACCCTGATTAGAGCAACATACAACAGCCCAAAGCGTACCGAGGTGGAGCTGGAGTGGCAGGTAGATGGTGTGGAGGAGAAAGGAGGTTGGACTGGATTCCATCTGGAGCACCAGTGGGTATCTGAGCGACCAAACAGAAGAGGAAGCAGCAACGAATCCCAGCTGAGGATGGAAGAGAGGATTGGTCCCCAAGACTGGCAGCGCACCATCATCCAGGAACCAGATGCCAGGAGTCACACAGTAAGAGGACTGACTCCAACTGTTACCTACCAGTTCCGCATAATACCCATCAACCACCGCACGATTGGACACCCATCTCCAACAAAAACTCCAGGTACAATAAGCGCACTCTTAAAAAGGAAGCATACAAACAAGATTTTTAAAAAGTGTATAAATGCTAATCTCATTAGGCAATGCACATGTTAAATAGGACCTGGTAATATCTTTAAACTGTGAACATGAGAGTTTTGTGCAATGGCAGTTCTGATTACCTTATTAACATTTTTTTTTCCTTTTTATCCTCTTAGGTGAAAGACACACATCCCAAAAAAACAAATCCACATATTAACACATGAGACTAACACATTCATTGAGCTTCTATCTTTTTCTGTTTCCTTTTCTCTAATCTCTAAACTGTTTAAAATCTGACTCCATTTAGTTCTAATACAATATTAAAGTCATTTTTCCATTTAAAAATGCTGTTATACTGTATATATTTTGAAAAGTCTAACTTGGTTAATTAACTGACTTAAGATCGAAGGGTTTGTTAAGTCAGACATCAGAGATGGATTATACATGTTAATGGAAATATCAAATAACTATAGGGGAATTTTTCCTAATTAAATTCCAAGTAATGTATTGTAACATTTTTGGTGTATCTGCAGCCCATACTGTTAAGAAAGAACTCTTACAGGAAATAATTGTCAGAGTGAAGTGCTCTTTTTGTTTTTTATTTCTAAGGTGTACTATTTTGCAATGTGTAACTTTGGTGTATTGCAGCGGAACCGCGCCACAACATGTACCCAGCTGTGATTGGGGCGGCTATAGGCGGAATGCTCTTTGCAGCCATTCTCACAGTCCTGCTACTAATTTTCATAATTCGCAACCGCCACAACAATCCCAGTGAGTCCTGCACAGCAGTAGCAACATTTTGCAAATGTAAACTATGAAGATGAAGCTACCGAAACTTTTCGCGGTATTAATAATGTGTTTGTTTCACCAGGACTGCATGACATGCTGTTTGGCTTGTGAGTATCTGAGTGTTCCTACTTGCTATATCCTAAGAGGCTGATTATCAAAGCAAATAATCCATGTTTTACTTTCTATTTATAGACAGCACAGCCAGTCAAGAGAGAACATTAATTTTCCAGAGGATGAAATGGTCAGAGGGTCAGAGGGAATAGAGGACATTGGTGGATCATCCAGCCCAGGCAAGAAAAACTTGCTTCAAAAATAATTTATTTTCTCTTCTTTTTAATAGCAACATCACATTTTGCAAGTCTGTTTTTTTTTTTTTTAATATATATAAATTAAGGAATACAAAGATTTTTTTTAACAATTGTAAAACTATCAAACATCAAACTATCAAATATCAACCTAAAATAAAAATGATTATTAAATATGCTTGGATCACATGAGCCTATCAGCTCTTACGCTTCAATGACGGTAAGAGCTGATAGGCTCATGTGATCCAAGCATATTTAATAATCATTTTTATTTTAGGTTGATGTTTGACAGCTTTGATGTTTGCGGCATGGTGTTTCAATATAGTTTTATCTTTTTTTTCCTGCATTTTATAATGAACAAAAACCTTTGCAGATGTTTCACATGGCAAGACCACAATCCAGATATATTACACACATGCGCCATGAGTAAACAGGGAAGTAATAAAGACCATTTGTACCTCATCAGTAAGCCTTGAAGTAGAGAAGAATTAAGTTAACTACCCATTTATTCAAGTCCGGTGTGGCTTAAATGGAAAGGTGAATGTATTAATGAGGAGCCGGGAAACACCTCAGAGGACAGTGGACCCAGAGGATCTGAGTTGGGAAACATTGGTCTTAAGTGCATTTTTTGCTCTAGACAAGGAGCAGCTATTAGTTGATCTGTTTCAATAAGCTATTAATTATTCGAAAATGCTTTGCACTTATTCAGTCCCAAGCATTAAATCAGACTCCAAAAAAATAAGTGTCATTCTCTATGTGAGGGATTGGCAGCAACAAAATGCAAGTATCGTCGCCACATGCCCATCCAAGCGGAGCATGTCCTGCACGCCAAAGGTTCGATGCAATCAAATGGTTTTCTTATAGAAACCTTTTGCCAATCTGAGCGTAGGATATGACTAAGAGTGTAAAGTTGCTCTGAGATGAGATGTGTTGTGAAATGGTGCTTTGTAAAATTGAAAGGATTTTAAACTGAAACATAAGAAAGCAAAGCTGACATTAAAACCCTTAATTAACCAATTGTCAGTTCTTTGCAGGCAAAGTAGAAGCTGAACAGATATTAGCAGATATAAGTTTATTTAGGATGAAATAATAAAAGTATTTTTGATTATGGATCAAATGTTTTATATATACTTCTGCTGATTTTGGCTCCCATCTGTGCTGAAGGCAAAACTTTGGTCTCTTGCAGGCCCTGCTGTGTCTATACCCAGGGCATCCTCACCCCTCACCACCTCACACCTGAGTGCCACTCCCACCCCTAGCAGCCAAGCCCCTCCCCCTGGAGAGGATAACGAGCCCGTCAGCGTCACAATTACGGTCAAGGCAACTGGATCCTAAAATAAATCACCAGCATGTCAGCTGCATTTCAAACTGGAGCTCCTGTATATATTTTAGTGAACGCAAAGCAACTGTTAGATGTTCTTGTACAAAGATCCTTCACAGATGTCATTCCAAGCTAGCTGAACAGATAAAAGATGTATAACTGGTGTTTTATATTTATATTTTATTTTGTGACTCCTTCTTCATTTCATAATTTAACCTCAAATAAATGTATCAATAGAATAAAAATCTGTACTTATTCAACTATTCCAGTATGATGTGCTTATTATAAAAGAACAGAGCAAAAAAGGTTTTATTAATTTATTCATCTTTGAACTTTAAGATTAAAACATCGGAACTCTACAGTTTTTACAAACAGCATTGTTGAAAATCATGACTGACACTAGAACCAACATGTCACTGCACAGAAGGTATGACCTACCCTCAAGACTTGCTTTTTTATGTCCAGATGAGATAAGAAAGACAAATGTTAACAAAAACATGTAAATATATACAGTTTGCTTCTCTATGATGGTCTCTGTTTTCTCTGTGGAAGTTTTTTTTATGGCATGGGAAATAAAATCTTTGGGGAGCAGACCACCTCGCCGAGCTTCTGCTTGATCTTCACAAAGAGACGCTTGAACTCCAAACCGTCACCCTGAAAAAGGCAGAAACTTTAGCATAGCAATATTTCAGTTCTTCTTTTATTGCCCATTACTTCTTTTTGTGGCCCATAACAGTTAAAACATCAAAGAATTTTAACTTTCTATCTGACCTTGTTCCAGAGATGTAAAATAGATACCGTAATAGGACTGAGGCAATAAATCGGTTTTTGTTGAATGATTAAATTTACCATGAATGGAGATCTTTTTGTAGAAAAAAAAAAAATCTGTATTTTTATTTACATTTTTGAAAAAAGTTTTTTTTTTTTTTTATGTAATCTAATCCTAATTTGTAATGCCACTAGCTGCAAACACATTGTTTTTGTTTTTTGTTTTTTAAATTATGACAGGATCTGACAGCTTGTTTTTCAAGCATGTTTTAAAGCTTGTATCTAGTCGTACTTTGAGTTCAGGTAATCTCCCAGAAAGGATGATTGACATTAAAGCAACTTTTTAAAAACAATTCCTGTCATTTGTAGTTTTTTTTAGTATCAAAAGGGCAAGTAGTAATTCTTCAAGAATTTATATGAAAATTGAATCAGAATCATATAGTCCATTTTCTTAATTCATCCTTAATTTCTAATAGTTGAGGTGTTGTTAAAAATGTTATTTTACTAAACCTCCAAAGTCAGTTTTACAGTTTTCTTCTAAATTTTCCATTAACAATGCTTTAGTTAGATGGAGGACTGAGAGGCACTTTAAACCGATAAAGAACTGGCATAGTTTCTTCTAGTGAAAATAGAATACTTTTCTGTATTTTAGTGAGTTATTGTATTTTATCAGCATATTGTATCTGTGCTTTAATGTTTGTAGCATAAAATTTTTTTTTATTTACAATACAGGAGTATAGAACTAGCCTAGACTAGGGTTGCGTGATTTTGCCAAAAATCAAAGTGCATTTATTTTTAACCAAAACTGTGTTTTTATTTTATTGTACTGTGAGCCCTCGTTTTTCGCGGGGGTTACTTTCCCAAAAGAACCAGTGATAGGCCAAATCTGTGAAATAGTAACCTTTATTTTTTTTACAATTATTATTAACACTCTACAGCTCTACAGTATTGTTCACCAACGCTTCTGCTCAAGCGGTATTCACAGAAGCGGTCTCTCTAAACAGGCATCCCCAAACTCGGTCCTGCTCCAGTACAGCTGATTTTAATTGAAAGCTGATTAACAGGCTTTTGCTCTTCTGCAATCATTATAACCAGCTGTGCTGAAGCAGAGAAACCTCTAAAACCTGCAGGACAGCGGGCCTTGAGGACTGAGTTTGGGGATGCCTGCTCTAAGAAACATTTTAAACTCCAAAGCGTTTCTTAAATTTTTCATGTAGCATTAGCATGCGCTAGGTTCTCCGTGAGCAGCACTTGTTGATGGCCCAGGATCAGCATTCTTCTCCACTTCCCCATCATGTCTCTGTTAGTTTGATTGTGTTCTAGCGTTTGTGCAGAAAACGTTGGTATCCAGCGTAATGTTGTTTTTCAGCAGAAAGCTAATGCAGACTCCATCCTTACCATGATCTTGTTGCAAAATTGCAACCCTTTTTGCATTCTTGTTCAAACTTATTGCTGTTGTCATCCCTATGTTATTTTCCTCCTTCTTTATGGAACGAACGGAAGATTAATTAATAACGTAACACCTACAGCCGCATAGCTTCTACCCTCCTTTAGTATGTCCAGAAGTTTAACCTTACTGTGATAGTTAGTATCTCCCTCTGCCTTTTTGGCCTGTCTGCAAGTGTCTTTGTCAGTGCAGAATGTTTAATCAACATTATGGGTTTTGTAGAAAATTTTGCAAATTTAAATTTGGCAAGCTTTGTTACGTACATGTAGATCAAAATATTAAACCGTAATGTTACTGACACACAAATAGAGAAGAAGCGTGGAGACTGTTTAGCCAATCAGAATGCAGAACACAATGCAAAATGTAAATCTACAGCCAACAAAGACAACTTACAGTTAAACGTGTTTGTAAACAAGATCTAAATTAGGGCTGCAAGTTGCAATTAATTTGATAATCCATTAATCTGGATTTTTTTAAATTAATCGATAAATGATCAGATAGTGAAAGGTTACTTAAAGAATATTTTATGCAGAATAAAACCAGGTAAGACTAACTTTTCAACTTGTGGAGTACTTCATAGAGTATATTGACAGAATTTTTTTTTATATGAAATGCAAAAATAGATTTTTTTCCACAATTTTGTAGAGTTACTGCTCTAAGTAGGTTGCTCTCACTGCTAGAGACATGTTTAAGAGTCTCTATACTCCTGTTAACACTGGATTACTAAATTAGTTGACGACTATTTTAATAATCGATAATCACGATTAATCTGAATAATTGTTTCAGCCCAAATCTAAATACAAATTGAAAAAAGTTTTTTTTTTTTTTATCATTATGAATTTTTTGATTCATAGGGATAGTTTGTTTAGAACATAAGTGCTTGTTGGACATAAATTGCACACAGGTCTATTCATTTAACAGTTTTGCTGGTACTTCATCCCATGAAGAGATTCTTCAATGTTGAAGGTAGTGATTATACCTGGGGCTGCACACAGTCACCTTTCTTTAAACCAAAGCACTACCAGATGATGGACAAAAGTTTATTAAAAAAAACGAAAAAAAACAAAAACAAAAAAACCAGAATGACAATTTTCTATATTTCTGTTTCTGCCCTTTTTCTGCATTCAAACAATATTCAAACGATAAACCAATCAGAAATGCAACAACTTACCTTAGACAGCCTGAAATCCAGCAAAACTTGCTGGTTCATCTGAAGCACAAACACTTTGAAGATTAGCTTGTTGTTACGTTTGTCCAGAGTGCTCACAGTAACCTGAAGAAGAGGAGGAACTTCATGTAGATAAAAACTTGATATAGTGAAAGCGGTTCTTAATCATCATTACTTTGGCTCAGCCGGCTTACCTGTTGGGTGCAGGTGAGTTTGAAGGTAAGCGCCATTCCATCACAGACGTCTTTCAGGGCAGATAAGGAGGCATCAGCGTTAACGTTGGTAAAGAAGCGAGTCATTCTCCGGACTAATCTTTGCCATGGCGACTATTTACAGAGACAAACACAAAGGGAGAGCGTTTAAAACACGATAGAGGAATGATATCTGCTTTTGATGCCCTTGGATTCCTGCAGTAGTGAGTTTGTGAATTACCTGGCTGGCTCCAGGCGTGCACAGCAGCTGACTCCCCAGTAACATGTGCTCAGGTTTGGTCGGCTGGGAGAAGCTGACCTGTCCTTCAGTTGGGCTGATTACCAACATGGCCTTCCACCCTCCTGGAGCAATATCAGGCTGCGAGCTGGAAATCTGCAGCCTGTCATCACTATAGACAGAAAAAGCCCACTTTACTTTAGATTTCGGCTCAAATTGCACCAAAAACATCCCACAGGACCAAGGTTCTCACCTCTTCTGCCGAGATTTCAGCTCCAAATCTTTTCGAGGAACTTTAATCGGTCCTGATTCCTGACAACCTACAGAGACCAACAAGCAGCAATCAGCCACGTGAAAGAAAGAAAATAAGATATATGATGGAGTAATACATCTGTTAAAAGAAACTGCAATTCCTCAAAGAGAGAAAAAGACAAAAAAAGTAAAACTCAAAGAAATGAAAACTTGCTATGATTGTATAATTAACATGTTTTATCCGCATGTCTATAAACATCAACACAAAGTAAGGAGGTCTTTTGAAAATGTTGTTAAAACTAATCCCAGATGTAGCGAGTTATCAGGCTTGCCTTCTGTAAACCAGCGGTCCTTCTTTATGTCGGCAAGGGTCAGTCTTGCATCAACATGGGGAAGCAGCAACTTGGACAAAAAACCTAATAATCCATGAAAAAAAAAAACATTTTTATTTTTCTAGTAATTAGAAATTACTAGAAAAGAAATTACTAGTAACTAGAAATTTAATCCAGATACTTTTATTATAGAGTCTTTTCAGCTGTAACACCACATTAAAGTAGGAAAGCAGAAGTATGGAAATATGATGATATGAAGCCATTTAGGAGGACTTGCTAAATTCTTAAACAATGCATTTACCTGCAGTTTAAAAAAAAAGGCATTTAAATACCAAACATTTAGTATTCTGTTTTTATACAAATCTGGAACAAAATCTGTATCTTCTAAACCAACTTAAATAACTCAGAAGATCAAAATCCTAAAAAGGTTTGAAAAACTGTAATATCCTAATATAGTTATCCAACACAGGTTTTATCTGAGATAACTGATTTTTAGGATAGCTTTTAATGATTGTGAGTTTATTTAGAGGTTATTTCAGAAACCAAACCACTCTATGAAACAGGCAGAAAACACAGGTTGTGACGGGGCAAGTCAAAAATAAAGGAGCCAAGTATGTGAATGTAAAACTTACTTTATATGTCTGAGCTCTTAAATTTAATATTTAAAGTATTGTGCAATTTTTTTTAAAACAAATATTCTTATTTTTATGGATCTAAAATGGAATATAATTTCTTTAAGATAACATATGAACCCTCTATTAAACATCAATTAATTTAAGTTTAGCAAACATCCAAACTGAGACATTTTGATTTCATTAAAGCAGGGAGAGATTTCCATTTTCACAGATTATGAGTTATTATCATGGTGGTTATCATGAATGTGACTCTCGACTCATAGAACTCACTAGTAGTGTGAATGCACACTGGCAGTTTCAGAGTGAACTGTGGACTTAATAGCTATAACTAATGCAATACCTTTGGTTTATTCTGTCACCTAAAGGCTGAACCCTAATCCTAACAATAATGGATTAGAAACCAAAAAACTAAGTGGATTTAGGATGACCTTGTAAAATGTCTTAAATTTCAGTAATGACTTCCATATTCTGAGTGGCAGCTGTTTTTAACTAAAGTCTGAGTCTTACTAAGAGGCATCGGCTGGATTTTCTTCCAGGGAGTGAGGTAGGTCTTCTTTTGGAGCCAGTCGGAGTATTCCTGACAGCTCTCAGTGGGCTGATCCCAGGGCAGCTCTGGTAAAGCAAGAAAAACAAAATGAAGAAAGGTTTTGTCAACTCTATAGCATGATAAGGGAAACCCTGCATATCATCTATGTTGCGGATGCCTGGTAGGAAAATTGGCTTCTCCAGATTCTCCTTAGGTGTGTGTGCATGCGTGAATGGTTGGTTGTTCTGTTTGTCTCTGTGTTGTCTCTCGCAACACCAGCAGGGAGGAAGCATGATGAAAAATGGATGGATGGATCAATTATATGACATTTTCAATATATCATTATACGTTATAGTCTATTATTATAGCGTTTGTAACTGTCTGACGTTCCAAGTTTTGTTTCTTAAAGCAATCATTTATAAAATATTCTAAACATTATTCTTGCCAGTTTTTCCTGCACTCTTATTTTGTATTAATCGAAAATCAAAATGATATCATATTGACAGTACTTAAGAAATATATCATGATATAAGTATTGGCCGTATCTTCCAGCCCTAAACAAACCACAGACTTTCTACAACTTTAAGGTATCTGGTTGTACATTTAGAGTGAAATGTTACACCTGAGAAATCAATTATCTTCCAATACTGAGAGTCATCTTTGTCAAACCTCCTGCCAGCATCGCAGTCAGAACTATCCCGCAGGCCCAGATATCTGCAGGCTGCGCTCTGTATTGCTCTTGGCGGAGAAGCTCTGGAGCAACGTAGGGGAGAGTTCCACAGAGTCGATTTAAAAGACGCTCTCGCCCTTTAAAACGAAACATGGTGGCCAGGCCGAAATCGGTCAGCTTCAGGTTGTCTAAGAGGGAAAAAAACAAAACAAAAGAATTTTTTTTATTTATTTATATATATAGATA